TAACGTGTTAATCATGCCGAAAAAATCTGAACTTAGTGCTGAACAGCGTCTAAGAATTAAGATTTTACATGAACAAGGCATGTCTCAGGTTAAAATAGCCCGAGAAGTGAAGTGCTCGCGATGTGCAGTTCAATATGCTATAAATCGCTTCAAAGAGATTGGCACCCATGAAAATAGACCAAGAACAGGCAGAAGAAAAGTTACTACTGAACGGGAAGATCGATTGTTGATTAGGCAGTCTCTACAAAACAGGAAAAAAACTGCTTTAGAGCTCGCTGCAGCATTATCTGAGTCAAAAGGCAGCTCAGTGAGTGTTTATACTGTGAGAAGAAGACTTCTTAAAGCTGGATTAAAAGGATGATGATTAAAAATATACATGATATATTTTTAAAACTAGAATTTTATTTGTTATTCCTTTCTTAATTCAATTATTTTTCATGAATACATCAGTTCTATACTACTTGAAAATTGATGGGAATTTTGTGTGATAATCATAAAATTAATATGTTGTACATAGTTTCCTATTGATATCAGCTTTGCTTATATGATTATAACAATCACAAAAAAATATTTAGATGACAATATTTAGATAACAATATCCATCAACATTGCTATATCAAATCTATTATTATTATCAACATATTACAGGTCATTCTGTCCAAATTTGAGTATTATTTTATAAAAATTGTAAGTAATTGGATATAACAAACAGTCTTGTTATGCATAATATTAATTATTACATTATACAACTCCAGTATTCAGTGCTTTATGGTAAAATAATATTTTTTTTTATATCTGTGGATGAATTGATATTAATATTTACAAAAAAAAGTAAATAATTGTATTATTTTTTAAACTATTTTAGATATTTCATTAGATAATATAAGTATGAGTGGAGTTGCCTTTTAAACTATTTTATATGAACACAGTAAAATTTACTGATTCATTGCCACGGTTATGATTATCATTTATCACTAACAAGAACATTGTTTCTATTGGACAAAACTTATTTATTGAATGGAAATATATGTAATTAAAAAAATTAATGAATAAATATATATAAAAATAATAGAAGAAAAAATGCAAGTACAGTTGTCATCACAGTATTCTGTATAAGTAAAAACATAAAATCACTTCATTGTACAATTGTAAACGATATTGACGGAAAAAAACAAATTTTTAACAAAAAAAATGTGTAGCGTCACAGAGTATATATTGTATAGACTGTGAATTAGGTCAGTCGTTTAAATTGCAGGGTCTGTTGTACAGTTAAACAAGATAAGTAACATCATTATTTATATTGAAGTGTAAAAATATGTTAGAGAAGTACTCCTAGCTGTGAAGCTTCATAGCGGCAAGTGTTATAAATTGCCTGTTATCGTCCAAGCAATAACTCTTTTATGGCGTCATAAAAAGAACCATTTTCTATCGGATAAAGAGATCTCTATAAGCGGCCAGTAAAATTTTCAGTTCAGTATATTTTTTTGTGTCTTTTTCCTTCTAAAAACAGTTTACAGTCAATAAAAAGTTTTATAAAATTCAATAAAAATATTTTATATAAAATTTTATCTGATAAACCAAATTAAATTATTTTTAATTTAAATAAGTATCTACAAAAAAGGGTATTATAATATTAGAAATATCGAAACTAAAATTATATACCTATAAGTAAAAAGTATTCGGTATCATAAATTATTACTGACGCTTAACAAGTAAGAAGATAACAAATATTTCTAAGCCTTAATAATCTGTTTGTGTAACGGGTTTATGGGATGCTAAATACGTTTATGTGTGTGTGACACAAAAATGTAACACATACAACTTGATTACAATATGATGGCAATATTAATTGAGACATTATTATGCTCTTAATAGGTATATGTTTTGTTAGTACGATGTTCATATATGTATAGACATTTAAGTCACAATAAAAAGCATAAAACTTTATATGTGCGAATTCAGTCTGAAAATAGATTTATTTGAATCAAGTGAAGAAAATTTGTATATCTTCAAACATTAATCGCCTGTTTTCAGTAATTTAGTGGCTTAATTATTTAAAGTTTTGTTTAAATTGCATTTCAGACTCTTGCTGTAAGAAAATACCATTGAAGTTAAAAAATCCTTTCATTATGTGATTGAGTAACAAACTAAAGTTTCGTATTATAATATTATCTACTTACGCTTAATTTATTTCTCCTATTCGCTAAAATACTGATAAGCAAAATCTGTCATTCAAAATTGTCAACCCTTGTCTATACATAATACATTTCTAGGTACAAACAGATTTAGATACCAATGGGTTTAATAATCTCTTTGTTATAATCTGTTCATATATGTATATCTATCCATTTATAGATATCGGCAACCCTACTATTTTCACCTATTTAGAGCTATCGACAACCCTAATATTCTTATCACTTAAAACCAGTCAGTGTGATTAATTTCTATAAATTTAGCTACAATTGTGTGTATATACATTTATATCAATAATTTTACAAAAAATAATAGTATAATATTTTCGTCATTTAGCATACCTACTGTATAAAGATTGAATTTCACAAAGGGAAGGGTTGAATTGCGTTCATTAAAATTCATAAGTTTCTAAAAAAAGGAAGAATTACTAACGAAAGGGCTGAAAGGTTTACTTGTTTATCTAATGGAAAAGGACCCGGGTCCATGTTTGTACGGAAATCATTTTTTTATATAATTTTGTAATTCTAAACATTGTTTACTTTTAATTTCCTAGAAGTACCTAAAAATTGACATAAAAATAAAATTCAAGAACTAAAAATTTGCAGAATAACTAGAATTTACGTTATAAATGAAAATATAATTGTATTTGTGTTAATATCTGTAAATCTTAATTTTTAGACCGACTGTAGTTAGTCTTTATCCATACTTGGATACTGAAATAATATAGGACATCTTGAGATGGTCAATAACTGACCCAAAAAAATTAATCTTCACTGAGTAATTTGATAACTTCAAACTGTTGCCATATATTCAAATATTTTTTGCTTTCAGTTTCTTTTCTGTTTCTGAACGCTTTGTTTATATTTATTTATTATCTTCTACTTAAATTTATTTATTTTATACGCTGCGTGCAAAAGTATTAGGCACCCCTATTGTTAGTCACTATCTCATTAGATAGCGGTCAAGTGTGTGTTTTATTTTGTAATTACTCTTAACCACATAATGTATTTAATAACTTCTATTTTTCTTGGCAGAGTAATTTACTTGACCGTGGGGTCTACGCTAGTTGAATATATAAGCGTTATCTATATACATATATAAAAGAAAGTCAATCAATATATAAGCGTTATCTATATACATATATAAAAGAAAGTCGCGTTAGTTACTCCACTTATAACCCACGAACGGTTGAACTTAGGCCTTAGGCCTCGGCCTCGAATTTTGCGGGCAGCGGAGCGGCAGCGGGAGCGGCAGCGGGAGCGGCAGCGGGAGCGGCAGCGGGAGCGGCAAGATCATACGCGTATAATCAAATGGACCGACCCTCGAATACAGCGGTGCAGGAGCAGGGCGGGGGCGGGCAACGAGCGGTGCACGGGTGCACTCCAGTGAAGCGGTGACCGCCCGCGTTGCGCGTCTGCATTGTAGTATTGTATTTTTTTTGTGACGTATCAAAATGTATTCGGACGTGCAAGAGCAAATTATTTCGGCAATCTTTGAGAGGACACCCTTATGGAACAGCAAAGATGTGAACCATAAAAATAGAAGATGAATTAACCAATTATGGGAAGAAATAAAAAACGAACTGAATATTGAAGGTAAATATAATATTCTTTGTCTTTTTGATATGTATCACCTGATTCTAAATAAGAAATAAATAATAATTTTTTTAGCGAATTAAACAAGGTTTAATAATAATTTTATAATATAATTTTAGCTACTTAAAAGGTATTTTTTATTACTTAATTGTTGTCGTTATATAGAGTTTACACTGATTTACTAAATTAGTGCAACACAATTTCTAAAAGATATAGATCTAAATCGTTTTGAATTAATTCCAGACTCTAAATCACTCTTGATAGTTTCAAGAATATAGTCAAATGTTTCTACACTCATTCTGGTGTAGTCGTAGAATCTGTCGGGATTTTGTCTCTATTCTTCATAGTTTCGATAAAACTCGCCATTTATTTTCCTTGCCCTATAGTAGGGGTCCACTTCTTCTTTTGCCCACAATAAATCGAGCATTAGGAATGATTTCGAATCATAAAGATGTCGCCGTTTTTCAGACATTTTGTTCGCGAATAAAACAAATATCTCGACAACACAACCACGAACACAACACTACACCGCTATAGTGCCGCGCGATCTGCCCGCTAGTTTCGAGAACAAGTATGCGTTGCCCGCCCCATTGGCGCGCCGCGAGATTCGAGGCCGAGGCCTAACGGCCGCTGACAAGCTGAGCGGACACTGCGCCGTCCGCTCAGCTGGTCAGCTGGCTCGTCACTCGTCAGTCCACATAGACTTTAGATGTGTAATGCTTGTCCGTCACCGCTACGGCGATACTCGCACGCACACCCTCGCTTACGAAAAATAATCTCCTTCTGTTTTAATATCCTTTAAGTAGTTTAAATTGCTAAACCTTGTTTAATTCGCTAAAAAAATTATTATTTATTTCTTATTTAGAATCAGGTGATACATATCAAAAAGACAAAGAATATTATATTTACCTTCAATATTCAGTTCGTTTTTTATTTCTTCCCATAATTGGTTAATTCATCTTCTATTTTTATGGTTCACATCTTTGCTGTTCCATAAGGGTGTCCTCTCAAAGATTGCCGAAATAATTTGCTCTTGCACGTCCGAATACATTTTGATACGTCACAAAAAAAAAAAATACAACACTACAATGCAGACGCGCAACGCGGGCGGTCACCGCTTCACTGGAGTGCACCCGTGCACCGCTCGTTGCCCGCCCCCGCCCTGCTCCTGCACCGCTGTATTCGAGGGTAGGTCCATTTGATTATACGCGTATGATCTTGCCGCTCCCGCTGCCGCTCCCGCTGCCGCTCCCGCTGCCGCTACCGCTGCCGCTCCCGCTGCCGCTCCCGCTGCCGCTCCCCGCTGCCGCTCCCGCTGCCGCTCCCGCTGCCGCTCCCGCTGCCGCTCCCGCTGCCGCTCCCGCTGCCGCTCCCGCTGCCGCTCCCGCTGCCGCTCCCGCTGCCGCTCCCGCTGCCGCTCCCGCTGCCGCTCCCGCTGCCGCTCCCGCTGCCGCTCCCGCTGCCGCTCCCGCTGCCGCCCACGCTGCCGCTCCCGCTCCCGCTGCCGCTCCCGCTCCCGCTGCCGCTCCCGCTGCCGCTCCCGCTGCCGCTCCCGCTGCCGCTCCCGCTGCCGCTCCCGCTCCCGCTCCCGCTGCCGCTCCCGCTCCCGCTGCCGCTCCCGCTCCCGCTCCCGCTCCCGCTCCCGCTCCCGCTCCCGCTCCCGCTCCGCTCCCGCTCCCGCTCCCGCTCCCGCTCCCGCTCCCGCTCCCGCTCCCGCTCCCGCTCCCGCTCCCGCTCCCGCTGCCGCTCCCACTCCCGCTGCCGCTCCCGCTCCCGCTCCCGCTGCCGCTCCCGCTGCCGCTCCGCTGCCCGCAAAATTCGAGGCCGAGGCCTAAGGGCGAATACATTTTGATACGTCACAAAAAAAAAATACAACACTACAATGCAGACGCGCAACGCGGGCGGTCACCACTTCACTGGAGTGCACCCGTGCACCGCTCGTTGCCCGCCCCCGCCCTGCTCCTGCACCGCTGTATTCGAGGGTCGGTCCATTTGATTATACGCGTATGATCTTGCCGCTCCGCTGCCCGCAAAATTCGAGGCCGAGGCCTTAGGCCTTAGGCCTCGGCCTCGAATTTTGGCCTAAGGCCTAAGGCCTCGGCCTCGAATTTTGCTGGCAGCGGCAGCGGCAGCGGGAGCGGGAGCGGGAGCGGGAGCGGGAGCGGCAGCGGGAGCGGCAGCGGGAGCGGGAGCGGGAGCGGCAGCGGGAGCGGGAGCGGCAGCGTGGGCGGCAGCGGGAGCGGCAGTGGGAGCGGCAGCGGGAGCGGCAGCGGGAGCGGCAGCGGGAGCGGCAGCGGCTATTGTATTAGCGGCAATTTTTAACCAAATTAAGATAAAAGGAAATATTTATGACATCCAGGTGTGCTCCTAAGCGGTGTTTCTTCGAATTTGCTTTTTTGCGTTTCTGGTTATAGTGTGTTATCAGTGCTTGCAGTGAACATACACGTCTTCTACGCAACTATTCCTATCACAATTCGAAAGACTAACATTTAACGTGTTAATCATGCCGAAAAAATCTGAACTTAGTGCTGAACAGCGTCTAAGAATTAAGATTTTACATGAACAAGGCATGTCTCAGGTTAAAATAGCCCGAGAAGTGAAGTGCTCGCGATGTGCAGTTCAATATGCTATAAATCGCTTCAAAGAGATTGGCACCCATGAAAATAGACCAAGAACAGGCAGAAGAAAAGTTACTACTGAACGGGAAGATCGATTGTTGATTAGGCAGTCTCTACAAAACAGGAAAAAAACTGCTTTAGAGCTCGCTGCAGCATTATCTGAGTCAAAAGGCAGCTCAGTGAGTGTTTATACTGTGAGAAGAAGACTTCTTAAAGCTGGATTAAAAGGATGATGATTAAAAATATACATGATATATTTTTAAAACTAGAATTTTATTTGTTATTCCTTTCTTAATTCAATTATTTTTCATGAATACATCAGTTCTATACTACTTGAAAATTGATGGGAATTTTGTGTGATAATCATAAAATTAATATGTTGTACATAGTTTCCTATTGATATCAGCTTTGCTTATATGATTATAACAATCACAAAAAAATATTTAGATGACAATATTTAGATAACAATATCCATCAACATTGCTATATCAAATCTATTATTATTATCAACATATTACAGGTCATTCTGTCCAAATTTGAGCCCCATTGGCGCGCCGCGAGATTCGAGGCCGAGGCCTAACGGCCGCTGACAAGCTGAGCGGACACTGCGCCGTCCGCTCAGCTGGTCAGCTGGCTCGTCACTCGTCAGTCCACATAGACTTTAGATGTGTAATGCTTGTCCGTCACCGCTACGGCGATACTCGCACGCACACCCTCGCTTACGAAAAATAATCTCCTTCTGTTTTAATATCTTTTAAGTAGTTTAAATTGCTAAACCTTGTTTAATTCGCTAAAAAAATTATTATTTATTTCTTATTTAGAATCAGGTGATACATATCAAAAAGACAAAGAATATTATATTTACCTTCAATATTCAGTTCGTTTTTTATTTCTTCCCATAATTGGTTAATTCATCTTCTATTTTTATGGTTCACATCTTTGCTGTTCCATAAGGGTGTCCTCTCAAAGATTGCCGAAATAATTTGCTCTTGCACGTCCGAATACATTTTGATACGTCACAAAAAAAAAAAATACAACACTACAATGCAGACGCGCAACGCGGGCGGTCACCGCTCCCGCTGCCGCTCCCGGTGCCGCTCCCGCCCGCTGCCGCTCCCGCTGCCGCTCCCGCTGCCGCTCCCGCTGCCGCTCCCGCTCCCGCTCCCGCTCCCGCTGCCGCTCCCGCTCCCGCTCCCGCTCCCGCTGCCGCTCCCGCTGCCGCCCACGCTGCCGCTCCCGCTCCCGCTGCCGCTCCCGCTCCCGCTGCCGCTCCCGCTCCCGCTCCCGCTGCCGCTCCCGCTCCCGCTCCCGCTGCCGCTCCCGCTCCCGCTCCCGCTCCCGCTCCCGCTCCCGCTGCCGCTCCCGCTCCCGCTCCCGCTGCCGCTCCCGCTCCCGCTGCCGCTCCCGCTGCCGCTCCGCTGCCCGCAAAATTCGAGGCCGAGGCCTAAGGGCGAATACATTTTGATACGTCACAAAAAAAAAATACAACACTACAATGCAGACGCGCAACGCGGGCGGTCACCACTTCACTGGAGTGCACCCGTGCACCGCTCGTTGCCCGCCCCCGCCCTGCTCCTGCACCGCTGTATTCGAGGGTCGGTCCATTTGATTATACGCGTATGATCTTGCCGCTCCGCTGCCCGCAAAATTCGAGGCCGAGGCCTTAGGCCTTAGGCCTCGGCCTCGAATTTTGGCCTAAGGCCTAAGGCCTCGGCCTCGAATTTTGCTGGCAGCGGGAGCGGGAGCGGGAGCGGGAGCGGCAGCGGGAGCGGGAGCGGCAGCGTGGGCGGCAGCGGGAGCGGCAGTGGGAGCGGCAGCGGGAGCGGCAGCGGCTATTGTATTAGCGGCAATTTTTAACCAAATTAAGATAAAAGGAAATATTTATGACATCCAGGTGTGCTCCTAAGCGGTGTTTCTTCGAATTTGCTTTTTTGCGTTTCTGGTTATAGTGTGTTATCAGTGCTTGCAGTGAACATACACGTCTTCTACGCAACTATTCCTATCACAATTCGAAAGACTAACATTTAACGTGTTAATCATGCCGAAAAAATCTGAACTTAGTGCTGAACAGCGTCTAAGAATTAAGATTTTACATGAACAAGGCATGTCTCAGGTTAAAATAGCCCGAGAAGTGAAGTGCTCGCGATGTGCAGTTCAATATGCTATAAATCGCTTCAAAGAGATTGGCACCCATGAAAATAGACCAAGAACAGGCAGAAGAAAAGTTACTACTGAACGGGAAGATCGATTGTTGATTAGGCAGTCTCTACAAAACAGGAAAAAAAACTGCTTTAGAGCTCGCTGCAGCATTATCTGAGTCAAAAGGCAGCTCAGTGAGTGTTTATACTGTGAGAAGAAGACTTCTTAAAGCTGGATTAAAAGGATGATGATTAAAAATATACATGATATATTTTTAAAACTAGAATTTTATTTGTTATTCCTTTCTTAATTCAATTATTTTTCATGAATACATCAGTTCTATACTACTTGAAAATTGATGGGAATTTTGTGTGATAATCATAAAATTAATATGTTGTACATAGTTTCCTATTGATATCAGCTTTGCTTATATGATTATAACAATCACAAAAAAATATTTAGATGACAATATTTAGATAACAATATCCATCAACATTGCTATATCAAATCTATTATTATTATCAACATATTACAGGTCATTCTGTCCAAATTTGAGTATTATTTTATAAAAATTGTAAGTAATTGGATATAACAAACAGTCTTGTTATGCATAATATTAATTATTACATTATACAACTCCAGTATTCAGTGCTTTATGGTAAAATAATATTTTTTTTTATATCTGTGGATGAATTGATATTAATATTTACAAAAAAAAGTAAATAATTGTATTATTTTTTAAACTATTTTAGATATTTCATTAGATAATATAAGTATGAGTGGAGTTGCCTTTTAAACTATTTTATATGAACACAGTAAAATTTACTGATTCATTGCCACGGTTATGATTATCATTTATCACTAACAAGAACATTGTTTCTATTGGACAAAACTTATTTATTGAATGGAAATATATGTAATTAAAAAAATTAATGAATAAATATATATAAAAATAGAGAAGAAAAAATGCAAGTACAGTTGTCATCACAGTATTCTGTATAAGTAAAAACATAAAATCACTTCATTGTACAATTGTAAACGATATTGACGGAAAAAAAAAAAATTTTTAACAAAAAAAATGTGTAGCGTCACAGAGTATATATTGTATAGACTGTGAATTAGGTCAGTCGTTTAAATTGCAGGGTCTGTTGTACAGTTAAACAAGATAAGTAACATCATTATTTATATTGAAGTGTAAAAATATGTTAGAGAAGTACTCCTAGCTGTGAAGCTTCATAGCGGCAAGTGTTATAAATTGCCTGTTATCGTCCAAGCAATAACTCTTTTATGGCGTCATAAAAAGAACCATTTTCTATCGGATAAAGAGATCTCTATAAGCGGCCAGTAAAATTTTCAGTTCAGTATAATTTTTTGTGTCTTTTTCCTTCTAAAAACAGTTTACAGTCAATAAAAAGTTTTATAAAATTCAATAAAAATATTTTATATAAAATTTTATCTGATAAACCAAATTAAATTATTTTTAATTTTAAATAAGTATCTACAAAAAATGTATTATAATATTAGAAATATCGAAACTAAAATTATATACCTATAAGTAAAAAGTATTCGGTATCATAAATTATTACTGACGCTTAACAAGTAAGAAGATAACAAATATTTCTAAGCCTTAATAATCTGTTTGTGTAACGGGTTTATGGGATGCTAAATACGTTTATGTGTGTGTGACACAAAAATGTAACACATACAACTTGATTACAATATGATGGCAATATTAATTGAGACATTATTATGCTCTTAATAGGTATATGTTTTGTTAGTACGATGTTCATATATGTATAGACATTTAAGTCACAATAAAAAGCATAAAACTTTATATGTGCGAATTCAGTCTGAAAATAGATTTATTTGAATCAAGTGAAGAAAATTTGTATATCTTCAAACATTAATCGCCTGTTTTCAGTAATTTAGTGGCTTAATTATTTAAAGTTTTGTTTAAATTGCATTTCAGACTCTTGCTGTAAGAAAATACCATTGAAGTTAAAAAATCCTTTCATTATGTGATTGAGTAACAAACTAAAGTTTCGTATTATAATATTATCTACTTACGCTTAATTTATTTCTCCTATTCGCTAAAATACTGATAAGCAAAATCTGTCATTCAAAATTGTCAACCCTTGTCTATACATAATACATTTCTAGGTACAAACAGATTTAGATACCAATGGGTTTAATAATCTCTTTGTTATAATCTGTTCATATATGTATATCTATCCATTTATAGATATCGGCAACCCTACTATTTTCACCTATTTAGAGCTATCGACAACCCTAATATTCTTATCACTTAAAACCAGTCAGTGTGATTAATTTCTATAAATTTAGCTACAATTGTGTGTATATACATTTATATCAATAATTTTACAAAAAATAATAGTATAATATTTTCGTCATTTAGCATACCTACTGTATAAAGATTGAATTTCACAAAGGGAAGGGTTGAATTGCGTTCATTAAAATTCATAAGTTTCTAAAAAAAGGAAGAATTACTAACGAAAGGGCTGAAAGGTTTACTTGTTTATCTAATGGAAAAGGACCCGGGTCCATGTTTGTACGGAAATCATTTTTTTATATAATTTTGTAATTCTAAACATTGTTTACTTTTAATTTCCTAGAAGTACCTAAAAATTGACATAAAAATAAAATTCAAGAACTAAAAATTTGCAGAATAACTAGAATTTACGTTATAAATGAAAATATAATTGTATTTGTGTTAATATCTGTAAATCTTAATTTTTAGACCGACTGTAGTTAGTCTTTATCCATACTTGGATACTGAAATAATATAGGACATCTTGAGATGGTCAATAACTGACCCAAAAAAAATTAATCTTCACTGAGTAATTTGATAACTTCAAACTGTTGCCATATATTCAAATATTTTGCTTTCAGTTTCTTTTCTGTTTCTGAACGCTTTGTTTATATTTATTTATTATCTTCTACTTAAATTTATTTATTTTATACGCTGCGTGCAAAAGTATTAGGCACCCCTATTGTTAGTCACTATCTCATTAGATAGCGGTCAAGTGTGTGTTTTATTTTGTAATTACTCTTAACCACATAATGTATTTAATAACTTCTATTTTTCTTGGCAGAGTAATTTACTTGACCGTGGGGTCTACGCTAGTTGAATATATAAGCGTTATCTATATACATATATAAAAGAAAGTCAATCAATATATAAGCGTTATCTATATACATATATAAAAGAAAGTCGCGTTAGTTACTCCACTTATAACCCACGAACGGTTGAACTTAGGCCTTAGGCCTCGGCCTCGAATTTTGCGGGCAGCGGAGCGGCAGCGGGAGCGGCAGCGGGAGCGGCAGCGGGAGCGGCAGCGGGAGCGGCAAGATCATACGCGTATAATCAAATGGACCGACCCTCGAATACAGCGGTGCAGGAGCAGGGCGGGGGCGGGCAACGAGCGGTGCACGGGTGCACTCCAGTGAAGCGGTGACCGCCCGCGTTGCGCGTCTGCATTGTAGTATTGTATTTTTTTTTGTGACGTATCAAAATGTATTCGGACGTGCAAGAGCAAATTATTTCGGCAATCTTTGAGAGGACACCCTTATGGAACAGCAAAGATGTGAACCATAAAAATAGAAGATGAATTAACCAATTATGGGAAGAAATAAAAAACGAACTGAATATTGAAGGTAAATATAATATTCTTTGTCTTTTTGATATGTATCACCTGATTCTAAATAAGAAATAAATAATAATTTTTTTAGCGAATTAAACAAGGTTTAATAATAATTTTATAATATAATTTTAGCTACTTAAAAGGTATTTTTTATTACTTAATTGTTGTCGTTATATAGAGTTTACACTGATTTACTAAATTAGTGCAACACAATTTCTAAAAGATATAGATCTAAATCGTTTTGAATTAATTCCAGACTCTAAATCACTCTTGATAGTTTCAAGAATATAGTCAAATGTTTCTACACTCATTCTGGTGTAGTCGTAGAATCTGTCGGGATTTTGTCTCTATTCTTCATAGTTTCGATAAAACTCGCCATTTATTTTCCTTGCCCTATAGTAGGGGTCCACTTCTTCTTTTGCCCACAATAAATCGAGCATTAGGAATGATTTCGAATCATAAAGATGTCGCCGTTTTTCAGACATTTTGTTCGCGAATAAAACAAATATCTCGACAACACAACCACGAACACAACACTACACCGCTATAGTGCCGCGCGATCTGCCCGCTAGTTTCGAGAACAAGTATGCGTTGCCCGCCCCATTGGCGCGCCGCGAGATTCGAGGCCGAGGCCTAACGGCCGCTGA